ACTGATGTAATTTTTAAATCAACATTATAAATAGTCATATAACAATGAATAAGAATTCATATAATTATCGATCTGAAAGGGTATTTAAGAAGTTCCAAATTCAAATATAGTAGCCTATTTGAAATGTACGTTACTGTCGCCGAGGCAAATATTATTCTGAATCCCCTCTGTGTAATATATAGTTTTGATTCTCAAGTAAAAATTTTCTGATAAGTTAAACCTTGTATCATATATATTTCTTTTCATAACAATAAATACATTTTCTTTGTGATAATAAATAATTTTTATTGTGCAATGTCCCTGTCGCTTAATTCTATTTCAACCACATTACAAGCAAACACAAAGATTATACACCTGATAGTTTTGTTCTCCTTTATTTATTGATGGGCTAAATTTGAAATTTCAAATGATTAATTACTCCTACTTAGATAATGTAACATGAAATTGAACAACTTGAGCAACTTTTATAAATATGTTTACGGAATGAAAGACATTTTCAGTCGTAGAGATAAGAAAGAAATGTACGTTACCTATATTCTTCCATTAAGAATACATATTAAGTAGAAAATATGAGACGACTCTGAATAAGCAACCCCTTGTATCCTGTAAAATGGCAAAAAAAGTTTTGCTTAACACAATTAAAAATTATTTTTTACATGAAAAGTGATCTTTTGAAATGTACGTGACTGAAATGTACGTTACCATGAAATTCGAATTAAGTGAATCTTGCACGAATTTTCATGTATTCTAATACTTTCACACACTCGAATGTGTACACAAAGGAAAGTTTCAAAGGCTGGAGGTAGGCTAAATCCCAAAATTAATGAAAAGAAACGTCTCTGCTGAGGGAAAAAAAATATTAAGGTCTATTATTATGTAATATAATTTTGATACCTGGTATATATTCCTGAATACGAAACCTGTATGATGCATTTCTTATGATATGCAGGTTCAAATAGTATCAATGTATTGCGTGTCTAACGTATGCTTGTGGAAGAGAATTGATTTTTATATTTGAAATGTACGTTACGTATGGTAACGTACATTTTATGTATTTCTAACTGACATTTTTTTTAATTTAGTCAATGAATTGCGTTTACACGAGCGAAACAAAATTATCGTTACAATCCATTTGACAACTGGCCACATAAATCCATCTAAATGCACCCCCAATCCTCGTAAATGTTTTAAACTGTTACCACATGCTAGAAAATTTATTTCTAAGTGTCTTAAATTCATCTTTGGCAACCTTTTTGCAGTTTGTTTACTTTTCATATGCGACTTTTCGTCAATATTAATTGAATTGTTGTTGATAATTTAAAACAAGGTATGCATAGGCTTATAATTGGTAAAAAAAAAGAAAAAGAAACAAAACAAATAAACCCAGAACACAAGACGGTCACGTATATTTCAAATACTGAATACTCAGTTTTGTTTGAATCATTGCATTTTGGGTTATATTTTTCCAGATCTGCTGAAAAGCACGTATGTTTGTGTTTTGAAAAACGATGTTGCAACATACTAAATGAAATTGTTAACAAGACTGTCGATGGATATATTCGGAATAGATTTATGTTAAGTTTCAATGGCCAAACACGAACATTTGTTAGATCATAGCAAAATACATTTGACTCTTATATTTTTTTTTGTCTGTACCCTTGCACACAGTTAGAAGTAACTAAGTCTACGACCGGTGTCAATTTCAGCGAAACAGCACAAAAGAATGGTAATGAACTGAGGTGGAGGGGACTCCCCAATAATATGTGAAATGAACGTTACCGAAGTGACGTGACATTCATGTAGTTGATGACAATAACCTCGTTTGTTACATTATGATTTCTTATATTACTGCCTTGAAACGCTTCATTGATATGATTTTTATGTCAATAATTGCTTTTTTCAATATTTTCTAATTACTAATTTACATATCATTACAAGCTTGAAATGTACGTTACCTACTCAGATTCTGAGGCAATCGTGTCTTTATAGTGGTGATTGTGACATATAACACATTAATGTGATTACATAGAGAATCTTTTCTGGAATAAACTGAAACAAAACGATGAATTTTTAGATGAATTTTAGATGAATTTTAAGCTTTTATTAAACAGAAATATATCTTGAAATGTACGTTACATTCACATAGTTTTCTAAATCGGCATGGATATATGTTAAAAAAGACAGTAACTACAAAATAGAATTTTACTACATGTACATGTTAGGTTCCAGTATCTATTAAAAATGACAAGATTCCGAACTGATCGCTCTTAACAAAACAGAGAGAAGAATTTAAAGCATATATTTAAAAAATGTTTTTATACATCTGGATCAAAAAGTAACCTTTGTTTTTTGAAAGGAAAAATCAAACGCACGTTCGTATGCCGAGAAAATATGTTGCTGACAGAGTTGGTAGGATGTGCTGGTGTTAAGATTAGATATTCCAATTGTGATTTTAATGACTACATTTTTTTTGACATATTTTTTGGGACATTGAAGAAAGAGTAACGTACATTTCAAGCTACATTTCTGAATAAAATCACCCTCTACTTTATCGCCTTGTCATTATTCCATGTATTATAATTTGATGAAAAAAATCTGGAAACAAAATCTTCAGATACTTTCTTTCAAAGGTAATTGATAGAAAAATTGTTATCTTAAACTTCATTTTTTAAAAAATCAGAGAGGCATTTGTGCCCTTATATTGAGAATGGGTGTTTAAACCTTTTCAAAAAGCAAATTTATAACATTACAACAGTAAATTCGATATACTAGGAATTTCATGTGCATTAACAGAGCATTTATTATTACACTACAGCTTATGTTACAGGCAGAACGTTATTTAAATATTGAAAAATAACAAACTGTTATGGATCTCAGAATTTTTTTTGATAAAGAATGTACATCTGTAAACAAATCACGAAACTCAGAATCATGGAAATTGCTGAGGTTGGATCGAGTGCCTCAGAAGAGTAAACATCCCATGTTGACTAATCACTCACATTGTGAGTCTTATGCAGTGATTAGTCAGACGGAAACCTCTCTAGTCGTATTTATGATAGTATATAACTAAATAGTCTAACAATTGATATGAAAAAAAAAGTCAGCCAGAGTATGTCAGGTATAGTTTTAGTTTGCTAACAAAGTCATTACAAAAACCATGGAATTTACGAATTTACGACTTTAAACAGTTTTGTTTAAATCCTTGTAGCATCAACGTACCTGTCAGAAGGCTGTCTAGGTTTCAAAACTAATGGAACTCAAAGAACCTGTATGCCATTTATTTTTATTGAGTGCTTTTGAGTTTCAAGGACGTTGAAAGATGTACACAATTGTAGGTGATAATTAGGTAAATCAGGAAGTTTGACAATGGAAATCTGAGTTCATCTCGTTTGTCTTCTTTCGTTGTTTACAGCTTTTATATCTTTTACTTTATGTATTTTTTTCTAATTCAGTAATTTAATTAATAAAGAAGAAGGTACAGTTTGAGCTTTATTGTGCCCTGAAAATTTAATGTTCTCAAAAGGTTATAAAATTGGCTTTAACAATAGTTGAGTAGATGAAGATGATAAAGCATGAAAGATGGTGGCAGAGTATGTTTTCTTGAAGAAAATTCCACTGAAAATTGATGTCTTCTGCAACCTTTTAAGAAAATACGGGAAAATGCACAAGTTAATGACGTCACAATCAGCAGTAAGGATGTCATATGTGAAAAACGACTTGCATATTCTTACTGCAAGGGATTCCTATGATTAAGAAAGAATGAATTTTGATTTCGCATATCACTTTCATATTTTCGAAAAATATCGGGCTTAATTTGTATTGAAAATGTACCTTCTTCTTTAGTGAGGTCAAGAATATTTATGTTAATTACTGAGACAACAAAAATTTGTCCCAACAAAAATCTTTGAAATATGTTGAATAAGGACTGCTGCATATGATTAGTTTTTATTGTAATGAAGAGCGAAAATTGAACAACATATGCTTTAAGTATACTGTAAGCCAATTTTTATTCGCGATGAATTTATTTCGCGATTAACAAGGGATAAACTAGCTCACGAAGAATAATTTTCGCGATCAAGTATTTTCGGATCTGTTGTTAACAGACACATACACTTTAAGGACCGGTTCGCGTTGATTATTATTAGAGATGACGAGGCTCTCAAGAACTACTCGAAAATTTCTCGCACGCGAATAAAATTTGCTTTTACAGTTATTGGATTGTATATTGGACTTTTACGAGAAGCGCTGACTTTTACAGTTGACGAATAACTCTTACATAAGGACAGTGTACGGAAGCTCTTTTAGGATATAAATATTTAGCTTAACATTTAATCAAACGAAAATAACGGGTTATTTCAATGCACATATAAGTTGTCCTTCAAGAAAACGACAACCACCGTACCCTTAACTCCCGGTCTTCACATGTAAGTGCCCCTCACACCATACCTATGATCACAAGAAACTTAGAAAGGTTTTCTTACGCATTATCAATTCTGTACTTCCGTACATGATAGACGTTTAAATGTCCATGTAAACCGTGAACTGTAGAGGTCAGTGCTTCTCGTAAAAGTCCAATGTGAATACTTGCATAAATTACCGAACATCTTTACTTTATCCGTGGTTAATTTGATTACAATACCCAGTAATACATCCTTTAATGTACAAGTCATCTCATATTTTACATCGACGATAAGATTAGATTAACCAGTTACTTGATTATTGAAAAAGTGTAATAGATAAATATTTTTGGTATTAACAAATCGTAGAAAGTATACATTGTTCTCGTCTACCTAATTATGCTTTTTTAAAGTTCTGTTTCTTTTTTCCTAAGGCGAATTAAAATGCCTCCATAAACAGTTTAGTAAATTGCAATATATGAACAGAAGATAAACATATTCGTACTTTAATAAGTAATACAAGGAAATAAGTGTAATCGCTTTAAATCATTTGCTTTCAAACACGGAAATAATTGTTTATTTATCATTTTTTCTTCTGATATGACATGTTTATTCTGAAAGATTTCTTTTAAAAAACATTTACGAGAAGTATGGCAACTAGATTAGGTAAGTCTTGCTTAATATTATGGGCTTCTCTTTATGATCATCATCTGGTGTACATGTATAACTATGCTTTCAATTTTAAAAAGTCTTGATTTATTTTCTTAATTTGTTATTTTTTCACTTCTGTGGCCACCCCTTCGTATCTCAAAGATATTGTTCAGAATGTGTATTTTCTATGATTACGATTAAAAACTTTACATGTTGATGATTTTAATGGAATCAAATCATAATAATATTGCGCCTTTGCATATTTTCAATTTAAAAATAAATATTTTTTTACTATAATTTCATGCAATTTTACGATATCATGTTATGAAAATTTAAACAGTTACGCACATCAAGGTAAATGTTCCGTCATTGTCATGCAATCTCTTATACAGTAATATACAAAAAATACATGACATGCTATTCTTGGAGACCCGAAATAAGTTTCAGATAAAAAAGTAAGATAAGATGAGAATAAATGCATTATATTCTAAAGAATCTTTGAAAGAATCATTAAATTTTATTCACTGGTATAGTAAGAGTTGCGGATAAGAGATGGGTGTACTTAGTTTTATAGAAAGAATGGCAGTGTCCATGTTTTGCTCTGAGAATCCCAAAAAAATTGACCGATCATATACTAATTATAGTAGGTGCACAGTCATGGCAATATGTAAAAAAAAAAAAAAAAAAAATTCTTCGAAATGGTCATTAAATTTCAATAAGTGGTATAAGGGGAATAGTAGATAAGAGATAGGTAACACAAAGCTTAACAGATGGATTATGGTTATACAGAAAGACGGACATACCGATCATTATATTCCTCCCCACTTTTCGAGCAGGGTTATAAAAAGACAAATTATACCTAAGTTTAACATTTATATTAGTGAGGTAGAGACAATTTACAGTTCTTTACTATTATTAAATGTTTTGCTATATTTTTAGCCAAAGGAAAAGATAAACACTTTATTTTTATCTTTAAACTGATTAAAAGTTAATTACATGCATGTAACATTGATCGATTTTCCGATACAAACTGCATTACATAACAATGTTCCGCTTTTTATTATGATTTGACATTACAATATTAATACGATGTGACAATTGAGAAAGCTTTAATGCAAATCAACTGAAAATTTGTAAATGAAAATAATTATTTTTCACGCTGTTATAAAAAATTGATAAAATCTCTAAATCTATATATTATTTTTTTAAATTTTGGAATAGGATGGATAACCTCAGCGATCCTCTTAGTCCTCTGTAAATATTTACTTTCACAGAAACATACAACAGATTTCCACTATCAATGTTCTGGTGAGTAATTATGTTTGAAATATCCATACACATCAAACCACATGTTTATCCCTTACTACATTGATTTTAAAATTCTTAATTTGATTTTATAGAGTGTACATGCTTACTGGATTCATCTGTTTGCAAAAACTGTACATACACGGATGTAGAAGGTATTGTTTTCATAGTTTATGAAAATTAATGCTACTTTTTTTGTGGAACATAAAGAAATATGTGATACATATCAGTAAATAAATCAATAGATAATTTTAATATGCTGTATTAATTGATTGTATATTGTTAACGTTATTGATTGTATATTGTTAACGTTTAAGATTCCTCTATTCCTAAGTCGATACGATATTTCCTGGAGAGCTTGGGATAAAACATACCACAGAGCCTAACACATCTGTTTCATACTTGGATATTTTACTTGAAAAAGACGTTAATGGTACAATGTAATCTAACAACCAAGCTATATGATACACGTGATGACTTTAACGTTTCTATCGTCAACCTCCCTTACTTATGCAGCAATATACCTTCATCGCCTCCATACGGAGTGTATATATCTCAGTTGATTCGATACGCAAGAGCATGTTCTACGTATGAACAATTTCTAAAACGAGGTAAATTATGAACAAGCAAGTTGATGAAACAAGAATATCAGCAGTCTCGTTTAAAGTCATCATTTCGTACGTTCTATGGTCGATACAATGATCTTGTCAGCATATTCAATTTATCATTGAGTCAAATACTGATTGACGTTTTTCATAGTAATTGTTAGTCCATTATTTATAAATTGAATTGACGACGGATTTTCCGTTATTTCCCGATCATGACAAGGAACACACGGCGGGTGTGACCGGTCAGCGGGTTCACTCCTCCATGGCACCTGATCCCACCTCTGATGTTTCGGAGGTCCATGTTTGCTCTGCTCCTATTTTGTATTGTTTTATGGACTTTGATATTGAATACGGTACGTTATCTCCATACCCTTCTAGAGAATTTTTCACTTCAGATGGACACGCCACCACTTGACGGTCGCCGAAGAGCTGCAAATTTTGTCCTATACTCGGCACTCAAGGCCATGAAGCAGGGGGATCTTTATCGTGCTAGCACTTACTTTGACACGGAACTTTGGTTTATACGGTCGTATCCGGAGGACTTGTCTAAACGTCCCGCAGAGGGATACGCGACTTAAGGATCAACTCCATACTTCGCGACTCCATAGCAGGCGTTTTAACCACTGCCCACGCAGACGACTGCTGTATTGAAAGAAGAATACTTTAAATGTGGTTATATGATTGATGGATTGTATGTTGTTTAACTTAAAGGGCTTCAAATGTAGATCTTTACTTGGCAGTCAGGGCAATAAAGCTGTAAGGATCTTTATCGAGCTTACGACTTCCGTGACATTGGGCCTTTGGCAAATCTGAAAGAAAACGATACTTTCACGTCAAAGTGAGGAGCACTTGACTAAGAAACAGTAGCTTACTATTTTTATTGACTAAGGTCAATCGCGTCTAGGAATCGAACCCATGACCTTCCGATCATGGAGTGAGCGCTCAAACGACTGACTTACCGTGTCCTGCAAAACATCAGAGATGGAATCAGGTGCCGTAGAGCTCGATTGTTCTTCCAAAATACTATAAAATGAGCCTTACAAACAATGACTATGTAGTTACGTGCTTTGTCAGCAGGGACCAGATCGTATTGATCATGTTATCTATCTAATTCTGGATTATTGCATACAGAAGAATAGAATGTTTTCATTTTGCCCCTTAATCTATCAATACCCGATTTTAACATGGAACTGATACATTTAATTGTCAAAAATCTTTGATTTCATATCTGGCCCATCGTCCGACCTAATCTGCAATAAAATCCATAATATTTAGGAAATTCCGACGCCCATTGAAAGATCAGGGTTTCCTATATTTTCAAAACAAGTGATCTGAGGTCTTCACTATCAACTATATTTACGTCACCTATAATAACGTGTCCAGCAGGACTACTTGTATAATTATGGAGGAGAAAAACATAAACAAGATAGAGGATTATGTTTCAGATATTCGATATCCAGACCATGTAAAGTTTCATTTTATCATTGAATAGGGAAGAATACAACCTGAAAAAAAAATTTTCTTTAAATGTTTTTGTTATAATAGTTTTATGTTAAAATACATGATATTTATGATTTTTGATTATTTGATTGTTTTTCTCTTTCTGATTTTAAATGAAGATAAAATACTTTAATATTATACTTTTATGTAAAAAATATAAATCTGATTCGTCGAGAAACATTTTTTTTTTAAAATTCCTAGTTGTATAATAAAGCCGCGCCATCTAGCGTAGCAACAGTCTTCATTGCTTGACGAAAATTTATATCTACTACAAATTGACTCTAGAAATTAACACAGAATTTATGCACATGTAATAAACTGAAATGCAGTGGTATAAAACATTCATAATATAATAAATATCCCATGTATTTGAGTGTAACATCGAGGGGATAACATTTACAATGCCAAACTCAACCACATGCAATATTTTAATATTTACATTTCGTTTATTTGTCTTTACACATGTAACATTCCTTACAAATTAGAATTTTGCTCATTTCCTCTTTAACTTCCGTACTATGGATGAGCATGAATATCTCAATTCTAACGTCATAATAAAGTACCTGACGTCCAAACTATAAGGCAAACTGTTTTGCCTTAAAAAACCAAAATTGCTCATTTTCTCATCCTTAAGTGACCTTTACACCGAAAAGTTATCCAACAAGTTCAAATATTTATCATGCCTTAGATTTGCAAGAATATCGACCATACATATTTTTTTTTCAAAATGAGTTAAGATGGTCGATATTAAGTAAACACACTTGAAAAGAAATTTTATTTTTCAAAGTGAGTTGATTAGGTCCCAAATTTAACGCACTTTGAAGTTTTTTTTTCAAAGTGCGTATTTTTTTAAAGTTCGTTGTAACAAGGCATGAAGTGTCGTAGTTCATGTCCTCATAAATCTTCAAAAATTAAAATCATTTCTTTAATTGATTATTCATCGTCATCAGTAAAGTTTTCAATATATTGTCACTTCAAGTACTGTTTGTATTCTGTATTATAAAGTTGTAACTGATCACAATCGCGCAAATAACTCTCATGGTAGCTCAGTCAATGGAGTTTTTGCTCCATGTTTGGAAGGTCCTGTGTTCGAATCTTGGCCGCGACAGATCTAGGTCAATATAAAATGGGTAGCAACTGTTCCTTGTTCATGTACTCAGCACTTTGTTGTTAAAGTAGGGGGTTCTTCGGATGACACCATAAAAAACTGAAGTCCCGTGGCACGATTTCTCATTAAATTGCTCATTTGCCCTGAGTGTCTAGTGAGGGTCAAAATTTGAAGCTATTCACTCTTTAATAATAGTGAATTTTCTGTACGAATGAAAAACTCTCCTATGTGGCGTAAAACAACATACAATCAATCAATAGAAAAAACATCGATGACAGAGGATGCTTATGCTCTTGGTGTGTAATATTATGTTTTTGGGTTCTGTAGCTAAAAAAGATGTTTTTACAGATAATAACATATCTTGGAAAAGAACATTGACTGAAAGCAGGAAATGTTATTTTTAATCTTTCAATATTTAAGGACATATGATACAAACAAACTTTTGTCAAATAATTTGAAAATAACGACTTGAGTCATGTTTTAATGAACAAAATGAACAAGTTTTACCGCGTAGTTTTTAAAATTTTAATAAAATTTTCCCAAAAATAGAATTTGAAGAGAAAAATAATTGTATAGATTAATAAGAGAGGTTTCAGAGAGGTAGAGTTTTGAACATTATAAAAGGTTTACAGTTTCTTTATACTCTAAAAATATATTATTTGCATCATTTTCAATGAAATTAGGCCACAAAATATATACCAATCCAGGCATCCATTTTTTGTTTGTATCATCTGTCCTTAATTATAGTGTCATTTGACTCATTACCATTGTTTTTGTTTTCAATTGGTCATGTAAATTCCTTAATTTTAATCATTGTTAAATCTGTCTTTTGTGAAACTTTGCTTGGATCACTTGCCACAACTTTTGTTTTCTTTTGTATTCGTTGAAGTGAACAGTACTAGTAAAAACGTGAAAGGTAATTGTTTTTCATATTTTACTATTTACAATCGTAACTATGCAGAAATAATAGGAACATTTAATATGGGAAACTGATAAAGGAAGTAAAAGCAAACCGGAACCCCAAAAAATGAAAATATAGCATAAATTGATATTATTTGCTTTCGTCCGGTACATGTATATAAATACAGGTAAGACTGGAATTTGTATACTTCGTATTCTCTATTTCAATATTTTTGTACCCAGGCTTGAAAAGCGGGAGGGTAAATAGTAATTGGGATGCCTGTCTGTCCGTCTGTTAGGCTTTGGGATACACATCTTTTATCTGCAACTTTACTGAATACCACTGAAAAAAATTTGATGAAACTTTTGCAGAATTTTTATTACATAATGCCATTGTGCACCTTTTTATTTTAGTTTGATATTTAGGGTTTCCCATAACAAGATATGGACACTGACATGATATTCTAACCTTTGACGTGAGGTGCTTCAGGGTTCTCCACAAGGGGTTTTACCATGGAGGTGCGCCATGGTTAAATTTGTGTGCGCCATGGTTAAATTTGCTGCGCCATGGTTAAAATCCGCGCCCGCCATGGTTAAATTTTAGAATTTAAAACTTGCATTTTCAGAGATGACACCTGCAATTTACTATCTGAGTAGTTAATTGTGTTTATACAACATGGTGTGAAGCCCCCCAAGCGCATGGGGACAGGTAATAGTGCTAATTACCCACGGTCGATCAGCTGCGAATGTGCCATGAAGCGTGAGAATTCATGAATTGAAGGTCGGTCGGCCAGCTGTTTTAACAGTATGAGTAGTTATCTACTATATAAACTACTGTTAACGGGGCTCTGTATTTTTGTATTACACGTTATTTTGTTGAATTCTAACTGTTTTCAGTTCAATACATAATAATTATAAAAGATTTACAAGAATTCAGAGACATAGTAACGATGTCTCGTAGTAGACACGCATCCGAGCCAGGGCAGTCGAAACTAATTAGTTTTTTTTTTAACGTCGGCAATCTTGATGATATTAGCCCCAAAATACTCTGTAAAAAATTCATATTCCTCTGTATTTAATCAATTTCCCATGCTATGTTTTTATTATCGTTTTCGATAAAATGTGCATAGAACCTAAGTGTCAATCGCCGTCTTATTTTTAGAGTTACTTTCCGTTGTTATGAGACGTCGCGTGGCGCTATTTTTAGCACTGGGGCACGTGGAGAAGTAAACAAAACTTGGTGAAAAACGCATTATCTTATTCTAGAAAAATAGAATGCTTAGAAAAAAAGGACACTTATCCAATTGTTCCTTTGTGTGTTTACTTAAAAAATACTATCCATTCATCAGTTTTAGTCATATTTAAACAACAGGCTACAACAATTCTTACAATTATTAATTTCTGAATGATATTGCCTGGTAATGTATCAACATTTTTTTAATTCCTTCGGAAGATTACTACAGTTTTGGGCAAATTCTGGTACATTTGTGAGGTAAAATACAGGATAAATCCTTTTCAATTTTAATTCTTATATTTTTAACTTTAAACAGAGTTACATGTAGTTATTCCATTGTTTTGTGTTGCAATGATAAAATTTACAAAGTGTAAAACCAGTCATTGATTAATGAAGATTAGGAAGTCTAACGCGCATTCGTGTTTTCGGTCACATTTTGTCTTCACGCAGCTTCCTCCATGGTTAAATTTTCAAATGTGGAGAATCCTGGTGCTTTCTAAATAACATGATGCACCACGAGTTATTCCTCTTGACACCTTACCGTATAGAGATTTTTGGGTTTCCAAAAGCAAAACATGGAAACTGTCATAATATTCATACGGGAAGCGGGGAGTATAATTTAGTGATTTCATTGCTCACAGTACCTTTATTTTTTCCTCTACGCGCAATATATTAAAAACGAACATCGCTTATTATTAAAATGAATGCTTTTCATAAATAATGCAAAACATTTAACAAGGATTGATAGCACATAAATTTATCTGCTTGCGTCGCAAATGACGTTACATATTTTCTTAAGGTAGATCGCGGGTTTGCTGACGTCACAATAGGATTTGACGTAAAAAGCTTACCGCGTTCAGATAAGCAAGGAAAATATCTTCAGCAGTATGCAGTAAAAAGTGACATAAAATGTAAAGCTTGCTTAGAGTATTTAAATATTTGTCGTATGTAATTGAAAATAACTGATGTTTAGATCAAGGCGGTCTTTTATATTATAAGTAGTTTTTAACGCTGCTATCTTATGTGTGTACGTACCTTTCTAAAATACCATTACCTAATTTGTTGCTACAAAACAAAAACAGATCCACCGCCGGCATGTCTGACCTGCAGTTTAGTATTTTTGTTCACTTTTATGAATTTTGTTTTGTTTGTTTAATTTAGCCTACATACTAATCTACTTTTTGTTTCTTTTAAAACAACAATCATCTCTAGATAAATCAATATGCAAAGTATCCATTTTCTTCGTGATGATGTACACCTTTTACGATATTACGATTGGTAGTATTTTTATGTGCAACAATATTGTTTGCCGTAAGTACAAGTATAACATTTTCAAAACGAGAAAGAAATGGACAATATATGATACGTAAATATGAACTTTCATTTGTACACGAAATTTCTCTTACTGATGCTTTTTTTGGAGGGGGGTGGGCAGTAAACTATATAATAATCAACAGGAGAGACGTTATTGATTTAGGTAACATCGCCAAATAAAATATCACAAATTAAATATTACAAATAAAATATCTTGACAAGCAAAAGAAAAAAAATGGAGGGGGTAACAGGCGTTTTCACTGAGGGGGCTCGAGCATATACATTTAGTAGTAAATGTTTTATATATATAATATTGTAACCTGTTTTCTATAGTAAACTGTATGCTATCTATAGTATTCTATATATCGGCAAAATAATAAGATATGGCCTATACGGCAATTTGGAATGAAAACTGAAGTCTGTTAATTCAGTGATAGACAAAATCAATTCATTCTATGATTGATTGATTGATTGATTTTATATTGTTTAATGCGGAGTCGGCAATATTTCAGCCAAATTTCGGCGGAATTCATTCTATGAAGTATAAATGTATACAATGTAGGCCGTAAAGCTATTTTAATTCAGCTGCACTATTTCCGCTTTAAAAGCTGGTACATTTTATCAATAAATGAAAATGATACACAACATATATGTTTGAAAATGTGCTTATATCCGGTAGGCCTAACGTGTTTTGTCCCCTTTCATCTACTTACATTTGTTATAATTTTTCCGTACTCCTGCCCTGTTTAATGAGAAAAAAAACCCACATGGCATTAAAATTGTGACACGCTGTTGGTAAACAATGGCAATGATTATACTGAAAAAAATTGAATTCACGGATTGCATATTTTATTTTGAGTGAATTGTTGATTAAATCAATTTTTTTTTTTGTAATTCAGACATACGAAAACAATGACGTCGCAATAACGTTATATAACGTCGTGAAGAAAATATCATACTTCTGATCAAAAATTGTAAAACTTTAAAGTTTTTTTGCAAGAAATTGAGCGAGAACACATATTAATTAGATCGATTCTAAATTAACTTCTCATTCATTGTATCGAGTAATATAAAATTCGTCTGCTTCGTTTTTATGTTATGACCATGATTTTGAAATGCGTATACCGGCTGAAAAGGCGCATTTTACTATATATTTCATTGAAAAAGCGTCACCTGTTCTCATCAACATTAGTGCATTTGAATTACGATTACCATTTAACCACTCAGACGAATCTAAAAAAAATTCAGAAGGAAAATTTTAAAACGAGAGGTGTAAGCTGACAAATTTTAAGCCTATGTTTTCAGGCAAACAGTAAACCCGCGATCTACCTTAAAGATATTATCAGCTACCCTTTTTTCACAAGCTAAACAGCGCCGACATCTTGATTTTTAAGTCGGTCACATCAACTTGTATTATTGTCTGAGAGAGGGAGAGAGAAGACAACGATAATCAGGAATAAAGTACGCTGATCTTAAAAAAGAACTGCGCACTACATAAAATAATGACACGTCTCTCTAACAGAAAATAAAACATAAAATCTCATAACTTGTGTATAAATTTGTGTATTTATGCATACATAATGTATATCCATTTGACATTTCTCGTGTATATTGATTAAAAGTGTCCTAATGAGTAGTGGATATTTTAGAACGCAATGATCTTTATTTTTTACTCTAGTCAATTTGTCCATTAATTTAATTGACAACCTTCATAAGTCGTTTACCATATCCATTTTATTCTTTGTTTTCTTACTCTTTCAGAAAAAATACGTTCCATAAATGAAAATGAGTAGTGAAATATGAAAATTTATAACTTATAAATACTGTAAACCAACTTTTATTCGCTTGCAAGATTCGAGAAAGTCCCGTCATCGCGAATATTTCTCGGCGCGAACCGGTCTCTAAAGTATTTGAGCCTCATAACAATAGATCCAAAATAGGCCTGATCGCGAAAATTAATCGTTGCGAACTAGTAAATCCCCGGTAAATCGTGAAATAAAGTCGTCGCGAATAAAAGCTGGTTTACAGTATTCAGGAATATATAATATTAATGATATCTGTTTAATTAATTGTCTTCATTATTTTCCTTTTTGAAAAAAAAGGGGAAATTTTGAAAAAAAAATTGTTTAAAAATAATATTTTTATATATATCTGCTTTCTCAGATCCATCTTATTTCCAAAGTCTTTTGGTTGGAGTGATAATTTGCGGGATATTGGTCATAATCTTGACAGGAATTGTTATTTTCTTAGTGATCCACATCTTCAGATTGAAAAGGTAAAAGTTGGCTCGGTATGTTGATCCGTATTAGCTATAAATTGACTTAATTCATGAGTAATAATGTTAACATTAAAACATATTATGTAAACTGTTTGATTCAACGTATTAAATATTCTATCTCTATTTAACAGAAGACATTGTTATGATGAAAGAGAAGGCATTCAGAATGCAGAATCTGTCTCTTCAGCGAGTCCAAATACAGACTATATCATTCCGATTCAAGCACAAGATGATATTCAGCCTGAACAGCATTACAGAGAACTCTCTTCTGTTAACATGGTTAATGAGTACGTAGAAATTGTGCAATGAAAACGTCATTAAGAACCGAAAAAGACATATTGAAGAAACAAATTGCACATGAGAGATATCTTCAATGTATCCTGATACATAATCTAGAACGACAACTGAACAAAATGGCTTTTACAGAAGACTGTGAATGGGAGACTTCTTCATGACATATATATAAGATCACATTACTATATTATAAAGTAGAGGAGTAAAATGTGTGGATAAAATATTAAAATACTAGCTAGTAGACATTAAATGTGCAACACTCTATATTTCTCGACATATTTTAAATAATAAATTAACCCTAACTTTCGTGTGAAAAAATCTGCATTCAAATCAACACATATATACATATTATCTTATTTTCCAGCTACATTATAAAACATTTCTTTTTAAAAATGTTTACATAAAAATTTATATGCATCAAATACATCACAAGGTAAAGACAGGCACCATCTTGGATAATTTGAAAAATGTCTCCTGAAACTAAACGACCTGTGTTATAGAGTTCGATCCATCAATGTCTCAGATTATGACTCATCTAACCAAAACCTCACATTGTATTTCCAATAAAATATACCTCCTTATTCTAGTTCTCTATATGTAGTTCGTGTTTGCATTGCTCCTGTTTTGTATTGTTTTATGGACTTTTGATCTTGAATACAATTAGTTATCTCCATATGTTTCATTTATTAAAATGCGAAAAGGTGGTTGAAGTTAAAATAAGTTTGTAATTAGGAATGCCTTACATTAATATGTTTCGTTTACACATATAAAAGGCTCAGGCATTTTGCGTTTAACATCCTTTTTGATAAAAAAAAATGCTTAAAGTTAAAAGATTAAACGTCTCACGAAAAATAATAAAATATTTCTGAGGTAGTGGGGAATATACTTTTATCATGAAAATACAAATAGCTTTACATTTTTGTATAATATAACGTGAAATTATTTATATAATTTTTGATTTGTTAAAACTTGCAAAAAATCTTGTTTAAAAAATTGAGTGACTCTTATTTAAACGTAGAAATCATAAATAAAAACTAAAGTTTCCAATTCCAAGTTGGGAATATGTGACAGGAATCATGTATATGGGAACATTTCGCCCATTTTATTTTCATACCTTTCGCCCCTATTAATAGGTGGGTGAATTCAACGATCACCGTATATTTCCTTTTGCAGAATTGTATTTGGGTGAATTTAAACAGGGTAAAGTTGTTTTAAAGTACAAAAGGGCGAAAATTACCTGTATACACTAGATATATATTTTCTGGTATCATTTATTTAAATTGACTAATTTCTTGATGTTCCATATTTTTAGTATTTCAAGCTATCTCAAATATCAATATTTGGTATATTGTCTGCCAAAGTGCCACTGCAATTAGTCGAAGTGTGTGTGTAAATGTTTGGTCAATAATTGTATCTTTTAAAATTTATTTTTTTGCATAGACGTTAGTGATGATTTAAATGCCAAATTCATAGTTAACAAATTGAACAAATAGTGCATATTTTATAAGAACTTGGGTCAACAGAACCCTCTCCAAAAATAACACCTGATCAATTTTGTCAAAAAGATCTCGTCCCCACATTTTGTCTTTTTTTTTTTTTGGAAAGCGATATCACAGATTTATGTGAATTTATGTGAAAACTTTTCGTAATTAAAATACAAAACTTGTACATGTACATATGTACCATGTGTACACCCTTTTGAATTTTTTTTGACTCGCGCCTCAACTGGACTTGCGACACCAAAGATTAAATTTTCACCATTACTGTTATTGTATTGCACTAGGTTTGCGCATCAATTACATATTTATCTTTAAAAAAAACATTGTGTGTTTTAAATGGATTGCCATCAATGAAGTTAACAGAACCCATGACAGTCTGTAAGTATGTTTAATACAAGTTTAGGTATAAATTTGGGAAAGATTATCTGAAATGCAAACGAATAGGTTGTATTTTTAAAAGGGTAAAAGATCGTCGAGTAATACTTACAAGCTCTACATTAAAGCATGTCCCTAAGGGTAAATCTAGAAATGTAAATGAAAATTTTGTTTCCTGTATTATTATGAATCTAATTGTATAAGGGTTATGTACACATATGGAGGCCATGGGTACGTAAATGTTATACCCCTAAAACTTGAACAAAGTTCTCAATATGACCAGCTGCAAATATATAAAAGATGTGCATTTAATAATTAACAGGCGTCTCCATATGAGTGAAAATCTATCGAGAGAGACAATCAGTCAATCTAATAAAACAATTTCTTGACGTTTCTTTCATAATTTTTGGTCTGAACACCCTCAAAGAATGAAAAATGAAAATATTCAAAAAATAAACACTATTACACTTGTTGGAAAAATGATTATAAGAAAACTTCTCATAAAACTACTAAGAAAAAAAATGCGTTTCTTTCCAAATTCCTCTCCATGTACAGCTTTGGCCCTGGGTTTCACTAATTATTATATTAATATATAATATTTGGATCACAGATACACTATACAATGATACATAATTGTGCTTATCTGTTTTTATTATTATTATTCATTTTTATAGGTCACCACCAAACATGCCTCAAAACATGACCAGGCTTCTGTGTAGAATGAAAGAAGGTTCTGGGAAACATGTTTTTGTACAAAAATATTTTGGTACCCGTTTTGCTCCTAGGGCAATGTTTAAAACTCCAAAACTTTATTTTACACACTCCAAAAGGTTAATTGGATAACATTTAGAATAAAAGAGGAAGAAGAAAAAGAAAGTTTGACAGACAGACAGAAAGACAGGCGGACTGAACGAGGTACATGTAACACTAGTATACCCAAGTTTTCTTTAGAAACATGCAAGTAAAAATATCTTTTTGATAGACAATACTTGATATCGAGATTACTTAACTTTGCAGAACTCTTTCGCGATTGAGGTAGGAAACGCCTGTTGGAAAGGGACAAATGTGCTATTGAATACAATGTAAGATCGATCATTACAGAATTTATGAGGACAAATAAGAAAAAAAAATCCTTGTGGAATACCTTGCTAAACAATTACTAAACAAGCCTTATTAATTTTTGAGAGCAGGTAATCCTTAAATGTTACATTTCTTACGATATTTTTAACTAAGCGGACTCTTTTCATTAAATTTTCATTGAAAATCATCACATTTTAAAGCTGATAAAATATTCTGAACTTTTCTTATTTGATAACCTACTATTTGGAGTTCAATTCTTAGCAATACATTGTACTTTTGGCATAATATTTTTCGAATCATTCGATTGTCTCTACTGTAAACAATGCCATTTGCCCCAGTAATCTCGCGAGAATTAGAGCTTTCTCGACTCCCCCGGAAAAAAGAGGTAGTAATTATAAGTTAGATAACTGCGAGGTATATGCAATGTTACGTATTGATAACTATAATTTTCTAATCAGTGTATAAGATTAAAGCCCGACGCTGTAAAAGTATGGATCTTCCTTATTTAGATTCCCTTGTCACTTATCTTGAAATAGGAGCGTTACATGTAAGTATCTGCAGTACTTTTTTGATTAGAAATTTAAAAATGAAACTATGTTAGCAATAATACGTAGTATGTTTTGCAAGGGAACATTGCAAAATAAATATGGAGATGTTAACACAATGTGCAGGTGTTAATAGTTTGTTGATA